AAAATTAAGAATGTTACACAGAGTAAAACAGATCTTTTGCAAGCTCCTAGACTGTTCACTAGAAACATCCCCACCCATAAGTCCCCACAAAATGTCAGGGTTTATTGTGACAGAGGACAATGTCTTAAAATTATTATTTGCAATAGGCTTTTTCTGTGCCTGTCACAAGTTGTAGTATGACAGCAGTCAGTCCAGATACTGTTATGAAAAAACAAACAAAATAAATCAAATAAAATAATATTTCTCATTTGTTAGAACATGCTTGCTTAGTTTCATTTTATATTTCTAGCCCACAGAAGGCTTACAGGAAATTTCAACTGGTAAAATGTAAATTTACCGTAATTGTCTAGTAGTACCAGATGCAGCTGACCACAAGTTATGTGCTTCAGAAAAAAAAAAAAAGGTGTTCATACTAGCAGGGTAATAAATGACAGGAAACAAAATTGCCTGATGCTAGCACAGGTTTTTGAGCCTGTGACTCTCAGAAAAAAATGTATACCATACCTCTAAAGAACGCCATTCATTCTACTGAAATTCCCACAAGGAAAAAGACATAGTGGAAAAAGTTAAACTGCAGAAAAAAATTAAGCTTTTGGTTTGTTACCTGATAGCACGCTGCTCTGAGGGCTAGTGGGACTACTAGCGCACAAAGCAAAAAGCTGAACCAGAGGCATTCCTTCTCCTCTGGCAGGACAAAGAGGTGCTCTTCCATGTGAGCCTCATCCGAAAGCCATAAGCAAAGAGCTCTTAGAGCTAGAAGAACTCTATTTTCCGACTTTAGGATATGATGCCAACACTGGATGCAGATATTAAACAGAGGTCCTCTTGACAGGACAGGCATAAGCTTTGAGCATTCTAGGTGGTCACTAAAGCTGAAGATCCCATTGCTCTGCTGTGGAAACACTCCTCTGCCAGTGCTGTGGCTGGCTGCTGTCCACCTCAGCCACAAGTGGAAGAGGACAAGGAGCACTGCTGAGTCATCATGACTCTCTTTTTTCATAGGTTCCCTCTTCCAGCCTTAATTGCACTGCCCTTGACCACTCCGATGCTCTTTGTGCTACTTCTTCCCCCTTATGCCGTCTTGTGTGTCTAACATTATTTGTCTTCATATGTGCCAAGTGCTTGGTGTCCTCTCATATGCTCCTCAGATTAATTTCTTTCATTATTGTTTTTTGGTCTCTGGCCTCTCTCCAGTCACACACGGTTGCAAACCCCTAGGGTAAAGTGTATATTTTATTACGGGCTGCTCAGTAGTTGCTTCGTGACTACAGTCCACCTCCTTCTGCCTGACCGTTTCTCCCTTTTCTGGCTCACCCATTCATTATTCCCTTCTCACCTCTCCCTCCCTTGCGTCACACTATGTTCAGGCTGTGTCCCCCCAGGCGCAGGAAGCCCACAGGAAACAAAGCCCATTAGTACATTGGCCAGGTTACTCCTGTGGCCTTCTACTTGCTACAATGAAACAACCCTGTGAGACTACTTTACCAGGAAATGAGCTCACCTAGCTCCAAGGGCCCCTTTGGGAGACACAAACCCTACAACATCCCACTTACATATACGTGTACAAAGATACACAGTTGTCAGTGTTCCAGGTCATGTTGTCCATATGTACCCACTTTCCTATTTGGCTGTGTCCATCCCCATATGTTTTTCCCGAGTAACACTAAGGGAAAGTCTTTGGGGTAGAGAGCTTCTCTTACTGTTTTGGCATGATGGCCTTGGTGATTTGAATAATACAAATTGCTGTTGTAAACAGAGCCAGAAAGGGGAGGTAGGCAGACCACATGTGTACAGTTTTCAAATCTCACAAACTATACAGAGTCCTTGAAGACCTGATCCTGAGTTAGAAAAGTCACATGTGCTTATGAAGATGAGTTACAGAGTTGTAACCAGCCGCTTTCAGAGGAGTGAAAAGTACAAGCTGAACACCCTGAGCACGTAAGTCTCCTAACGGAAAACTCTGGGAGGGAATGAGGTGCAAAACCAAACCGCCTATTACTTGTCCTTAAAAATTGCTAGTTTGCTTACTTCTGCAGTGTTGGCCTTCAGGAGCTCAGTAAACAATATTTTGGGATTTTGTGATGAGAATATTTATGAGGGCAAACATTATTAAGTCAGTTTGAAAAGTAAAAAACAAACAAACTACCTGAACCACACAAATACCCAGTTAAGGATGTTATAGAAAAAAACTTAGCTTAAGTTACTCCCAAATGAAATTGATACTAGATGTTGCAAAACTGACCCAAGCAGCTACATTTGAGAACCAGCCTGTCCCTGCCCCTTTCCACATCCATTTTTGAAGAGGTGGGAATTAGTGTGCCTAAGTGCATCAGGAGAAGACCGCGGAATTCAGGCACTGTCGTGCAGCATATAAATCCCCTCAAATGACTTTCCAACTAATGGTAGAGGGAGGGAGCGTGAAAGGTTTCATCTCAGATTCTTGGTCAGCCAGAACACCTGATCCAACTGGATGCCACCAGCAAACATGGAGATGAGGGATTTTTGGAACAATGACCATCAAATCTTCAGCCAAAGGCAACCACAAGGTGCCAGCAGCTGCCTCATGCAGCCCCATTGCAGACTACAAGAATCTAAACTCTCAAATAAAAATTAGTCTGCTTTGTTTACCCATAAGGTGCCAATAATTCATCCCACCTTCTGGAAAACAGGATTTCTTGACAATCATATCTCCATATCTGTCTGGGTGGCATCCAGTTCACTTGCTTACTAAGTTTTTGAAGGATTTTTCCACTGGATTCATGGAAAAGAAGGCCTTAATGAGCTGAGGAGCAACAGCAGGCTTGACCTTGGCAAAAACTACAGCTACCACCTGATCACAAGAACAGGCTTTGCCAGCCAAAGGGGACGAGAAATGCTAAGGGTGACATTTTCTAAAATGACCATGTCTTTGGGCAACTTCCTCGATCATTTATGATTTTCTTCTACTTTGCAAGTGACTTTAGCATTGCTGTCTACTGAATACCTGAATATATCTAAATGTAAATATATAAAAGCCCATAAATGTAAAAAAATAAAACCATTTGAGACAGCTCATATACACAGAAAGAATTGGAATGCAATTACTTTGCCTTTTCAAATGGTCAAATAGTGGTACCAGCAACTGAGTTTTTTTCTCACCATTTACTAGTATGAGGCAGTGCACTGTACTATACATATAATATTTATGCTTCATTGGAGCAAAGCAGTTCAGTTGCAAATGAGGGATAATTTCTCAACCACAGGAGGAAACTTCCTGTGTTCTTTGGCTGCTATGGGCAAGTTAACTGTGGCAGGAAAACCTCATCCAGTATCTTCAGGTAGAGTTTCAAGATACAATACAGGAACTCATTTGTCAAAGAGAGTAAAAACCCCAAGACTTTGCCTCCAGCAACCTTTGTGGCAGCAAGAGTATGTGCTAATTAACCACAAAAAGGCATATATGGCAGCTACTTAGGTTTGCTAAACATTATAAAAAAGTTTTATATCTCTGTTAAATGTACTAGGGACCAATCCAATTCCTGATTTCAGTGGATAGCAATCCTTTACTTTAGTGAAGTTTGAATCATGGCCAGAATGGAGATGCAACAGCGACTTTAAGACAGTAAAATGGAAAAGAAATTGACTTCTTATTTTTAAATTTAAAAGATGTGTTACTTGTGTCACAGACATAGGGTATAATAAACTTCATACCCAGATTTACAAATTGCTCCTCTCCAGTCAGGTAAAGCAATATGGTTTTGGGCAATGTGTTGTTTTCTTGTTAGGATTTCACTTTCATGAGAGAAATATACTCTGTAGTGAATCAAATGTAAATAAAATCTTAACAGCACAAACCATAGGTTTACAGAGAGCAAACCCTGCCAGACAAATCAAGACTTCAAGTATATTTCTCAGATTATTGCCAGTGTTTCATAACACTTTTTCAATAATTCTCCATAACGCCTTAATTCCAGACATATATGTAAAGTATACAAATTCCACTTGTGACAGGGCACTCAACTCCCATAACCTCCTTTCAAACCTTTTTTAAAACTCCCCAGCTGATTTTGCAGCATGCAAAACCACAACAGACTAATAGGAAATTGTCTAAAAGTCATCGTGAATGACTATAGGCTCGATCAACACTTGCATAAATCAGGCGATTTCAACAGGAAAGGTAAGCATTTGAAGCCTATCTTTTTTTCAGAAGAAGGTGTGAAGATTCTCATAGAGAGTCTAGTAGGTTCATAGTTCATCCCTGAAAGAGGAAGTGTACGACTGCCTTATTCAAGAAACCTAAAAGTGTGGTTGATTTTACTGCCAATTCATTTCTTTCAAGGTGAACCACAATAAAATTCCAGAGACTTTTGACCATTCTTTACCAGATGCTAAATCTTCAGCACTTTACATATGGGATTTTCTTTAACAGACATGCTCTAGGACACAGAAACTTCTCATCCAAACATTGCAGTTTGATTTGCCAGGTTTCACAGCATTTTACAGGAGATGGTAGGGACTATTACTTTTGTCTTTAGAAGAAGATATGAAAAGAAAACAATATTAGATAATTGGCAAAAATCATAGAGGAAAACACAGAGCAAGTGAGCAGGTTTGCTGATGTTACCACCGTCACAATAAATATTGATAATATTTTTACTAGCCTTCTTCAGCTTTTACCC